ACAAATTCTTGGGCGTATAAAAAGGTTTTGTTCTTTGGTTTGAATGTATTATGGAGTATTTCATTGTATAATAATTGTAAAAAAAATAAAGGTTACTACTTCACGGATTTCGCCTATCACGGGTTCTTTTTGGAACGTAACCCCCGTGAAAAACGAGGGTTCACTGTAGTTTCTTTGCAGTCAAGTCCAGTTTCTGACTCCTATTGAGATTAATTACTTAAATATTGTGAGTTAGTTCATGTCTTCTGCTACTACGTCTCCAGTGACCTAAGCAAGAACTACTTACGGTACTATATGTCCTGTTGTATGCTCAATAATCCAGGTAGATAACTCTAAAGACTTACTCATTCTAAAGTCAGACTGAAGAAGTATTTTGCAAAAAAGAAAATGTTTCAAACAAAGTAGAATCCGTTCATAAGACCTGACTCAGCCTTGTTAAGATTCCTACTACATGATGTTAAAACTTTATAAATCCTTATAATCAATAGCATTTGTGTGAGCTGATCTTGAACAATTATTTGCAATTAGAAATGCGTGAAATTACAAATTTTCTCAGTACCTAGGTGCATCTTACAAATACTCACGCTGTACGTACATGTTCTAGTATCTCGGTGCAATGATAATAAAGCTTATTGTGATTCTCATCAGACATGTTGGCACACATTTTAACACTGATATTTGTGGAACTGTGTTCACATGCAGGTAATTCAAGAAAGCAAGTCAATTTTCCAAAAAATAAAGAAACTAAATAAAGTAACATCAAAACCTAACAAGGTTATGTTAGGTACCTCTGGAAGGATTCTTCTTTGTTGAAATGTTTTGTCTTTTATCCAAAGGACTTCTTCAGTCTGAGGTGCTGCAACAAACTTATAAACAGCACCATCTCATAGTGGATCAACCAGTAACAGCAAAGCCATTTGCTTTATCTTCAAAAGTAGTAACTTTTTAGTTTTTATAGTCTAAAACAGGTTATTTTAATATCGGAACACTGTTTAGCAGGAACTTGTGGCACAAGGTTCTAACACAGTTTCCATTTCAAAATGCCATTTTATTCCAGGGATAAATTTTCAGATTTTTATAGCAATTTTCAGACAATTTTTAAGTACAAATATCTACTGTAAATTTGTAGTGTGGTCAGGCTTTGATTAAACATCATGCGCCTAATTTAAAAAATTTATATATTAAAACAAAGATAGCAAGAAACAACACTGCTGCAAAAGAAAAACAAAATGTTTACGGTCTTATCCCGATTCATATATTCAATAAACAGTGTCAATAAAAAAACAACTAGGTTATCATTTAAAGAAAATTATAAAGTAGCATAAGTTTAATGGCTTGGATATTAGGTTCCACTCAATAAAGTCAACACAAGATAATGATCAGCAGTTAAATACAGTCGTTCCTCGCTGTTCACTTCTTGTGGCTTCACTGTATTGTGAGGTTTTTTTTATATTTAATGTACTGTACATTCATCTCATCATCTTTATTTCCATCACCAAAGTGTTTAAGAGCAGATGAAGTGTTTATAAGTGTAGGAAATGTTAATAAGAGTGGGAAAGTTTTGTAGGAGTGTGGGAAGGGTTTATAAAGCATTTCTTTTTTCATTCAACGTTTATTTAAACAGGTTAGTCCCATTGAGCCATGAGGACTCATTTACAAGAGAGACCTGAATTTTAACAAAGAGTATGATAATAGTGGACAACAACGACAACAATAGACATTCACAAATGATAAATACAAAATTTGTTTTTGTTTTACCTATATAAATAATACAATTAATATAATAGCGCTACTTCACAGATTTTCACATACTGCAGAGGTCTCTGGAATGTAACGCTCACAATAGGTGAGGGATCACTGTGTAATATAATTGTAAAGTCATTTTAATTTTTTGTATGCGTGTATCATCTATGATAACAATAATGGTTAAATACCCACCGTTCACTACCAAACATCTACTGCATATTTTGTGATAAATGAGCAAAATCAGCTCAGTTAAAGTTTGTTGCCAACAATTATGAGTCATTTGTTTACATTTGATAGACAAGTACATGTTTGACAGGCCTGGCATGTGACAAGATATCGAGTCCTTTTATATTCCCCGAACATAATCAAGAGTCCGAGGGAGAATGATGGAATCAGAAACACTAGGTCCAAAGGAAAAACAGATAAAGTTATTCTTTCTTCGGAAATAAAACGGCGACGAAAAGCTGCAAGGACACAACAGAAGCGCAGGTAGTCATTGCGGGGTAGGAAATCGAGTGATATAAGACGTTAAAGCAAAGGTTGATGCTAAGATCATATCCAAATAAGATGTGTCAAGATATTACAAACTAACGGGAGAATTGTCATAACTGATCGCAACTATCAAAACTGATTGCTGAATTTAGCTGTAAACCAAGGTGATGAACATGTGTCCACACAGACAACCATTTAATGACAGAAACTGTATTAGAAGCATAACAATTCACATCAAATACACTAAAAAGCTGTTGTTTTTGTTGGCCAGTTTCATAAAATGTTTATCAGTTTCTTCAGAATCACCACATAGCTGCTATGCAACATGCTGCCATTGTGGGTGACTTGGAGTTTCCACATCTTGCATAGCATCTGAAAAGCTTTTTTTTTTTTTTTGCGTGCTTAGAAGCCCAGACAGAACACAGGTGACTTCCTACGCTCGGTTTATTATGCTCATGCTTGCCTGTAAAAATACTAAAAACAAATTCCACACTATTCAAGACTGGGTTAGTCATTAAAAAAAAAAACAACAAACGTAGGATGAGAATCCCCGCAAGCACCGTCTGCGCCGGTTTCATCGAAACTAGCTGGGATGACATGGCTCCAATCATGGGAGCGCTATGTCGCAGCTATTAATGCGGCTCTGAACGCCCTGAATGCGGTGTGGCTGAGGGGGCTCCAGCATGGTCACCGTCTGAGCAGCGAGCACCTACAACACGGCCTACTTGTGCCCGGGGTGCACAACTGGGTCCGCCGTGTTCCAGTATGACACCAGCCCCGGCGGACACACACACAGCTGAACACTCGTGCACTGTTTTAACAAGAGGCATGGCAACCTTATCAATACACCAAGACATTAAGACATCTTAGTTCGTCCGTTTGTCATGTCGATTTTTTACGTTGGTGGGTCATTACCACTGACTGAAGCGCATAACTTCAAACTGAGATCGCCCAGGACCACGTAGGTCCGTTATCGGACACAAAAGACGGAAGCACGTCGGTGCTGAGGCTTTGTAAAGCTTATTAAACACATCCTCCCGTCTTATCTGCACCGCCTCGGCTGAAAGCTGTCAATGCGCGGATCAAATCTAAAGCGGTGTCCACAAGACAGCGACAACGGAGGCTGAGGAAGAGCGCCAACCGCTCTTCCTCCGATAAGTCTTAGCAGAAGAAGGCGATTCACCATGCTGGGTTAGTGTGCCGCTGTATGAGGGTATATACTGAAATGATGTTAACATGTTACAGCAGCGCTCTTGAAATCGGTTGTGAACGAGCTCGAAGAAGCGTAACATGTCGAATCTGGGAGAAAAATCGAAATATTCGTGTCCAAGTAAGCTGCGTCCGATAATGGAGGCATCATCGATGCGACGATACTAAACAGGTTAGCTACAAAGCTAAGCGAGGAACTGTTAGCTACTGAGCTAGCCCTCTGCGACATGGGTTTGACATGGTGGGAAGCGCGAACTAATGTAAGCGGTTCGGTGCTTACTTACAGTCCAACACTTTTACAAAAAACGTTTCTAACAGCTCCAATAAAGCACGAGAAAATTAGAAGCACACGTTAAGTAAATCAACGCAGAGCTTACCAGCTTTAGGTATCCACCCTCTTGACAGCGAATTCCCTGTCTGCGAGTGACCGCAGCAAGTCCACGGTGATCTAAACACTTCCGGTAGAACTTTCAAAATAAAACTGAGATTTGCAAGACAGCGTTAGAAACGTTTCCGGTTAAACGTTTCCAAATAAAATAATTACTTTACAGTGCTTTTTTTTTGTTGTTTGTTTGTTTTTACAAAAAATTGTCAAAGTTTTGCTTGCACAGTTTTAACACAATATGATTTTACAGTTAGCCCTAAATTTGTTGCGTTTTGCAATTTGTTTAATAAACTTAAATAAAATAAAGATGAGATTAAAACTATACATGCTGCATCATGTCTTTTTTTATTTAGACTCTATAGCACTTTCCTTATGCATAAATTACACTTTATTTTTTAAACATTAAAAGTATATGTTTGTAATCACTTTATTTCAGGAGTCAAGAAAACTTTGTAGATTAAGCTCTGAATTTAATTTTTCCTCCTAATTGTTTGATTTTTATTTTGTTTTACTTCCCTGTTTCAGCAGTAATGTTTGTGTTGCATTTGTGAGAATTGGCTTTAGTTCAGTTAATGAAATCATTGTGTTGTTCACGTTTTCTTTAAAATGTAGCTGGGGAATAAAAAGATATTTGTCAATCCACAGGATGAAGTTTTCTCGCCCTCTAATGTTCAAGAAAGGATATTACATTCTGCGTGTTTAGCTTTAAAATGCAGTCAGAGTGTGTAGTTATTTGTCACACCAGTTTCTAATATTGAGCAGCAACTATTTGCTTTTCCGTGGTGCAGAGTACTTTTGTGCCAGACCACATAAAAAATAGAGATCAATCCACTCAGTAAACACAACATCAACTTGATATTTACCCTAAGGCTTATGAAAGAAATCACTTTCTAGATTAAAACAAAGAAAAATGCTGAACAAAAAAACTATAACTTCAACCAGTATGAAGGAACTTTACCTCATCAACATGTGTTTTTGTAAAAAAAAAAAAACTAAAATAAAATATGAGAAGAAAGAAAAACAATACTGCTGCTCAGTAACCCTGCAGGACAGTGTGGATGTGTGACAGGCGTGAGGCTTTTATATCATGTGTCTCATGCAGGAGGGGCGTGCGTGAACCCGGACTGGGTGATCTTCAAAAGCTCTTCAGTTTGACCTCTTCAGTTCCTCTCAGCTCGGACAGTTGAGCAGAGCTAGGCCCACCTCTGAGCAACATGGGTCTCACTCAGGACCCCAACTTTCAGAAGCTGCAGGACTGGTACACAGCCCATGCTCTGAATCTCAACTTGAGGCACATGTTTGAGGCAGATAAAGACAGATTCAACAAGTTCAGGTATGTCTGCTTTTAAAACATTTGCATCATTTAATTTAAACCAAAGACGAGGTGGACGTGGATGTCAATAAGTTGTGTTAAAACTTCACTTGGCAAACTCTGACACTGAAGCGGAAAGCTCTTCTGATATTCCACACCATCCTCACACAAAGTGTCTGCTGTTTTGCTCATTGTTTCCCTGTGTGTGGACAGCCTCACGCTGAACACTGAGGATGGAGACATTCTCCTGGATTACTCCAAGAATCTCATCACAGATGAAGTCATGAAAATGTTGATCGACCTGGTAATTCCATCTGAATGGTCTCTACTTTTTCCCAACGATCAGCCTGACCTGTCATTTCTTTAAACCAGCAGCGTCCGTCCATTCTACACATGCATCTTTGACAGAGTGGTCATTAGTCTGAAAATGATTTTATTTTATGACAGGTTTGAATATTTGATTCTGTAGAACTAATTTACTTTGTCTTCAGGCCAAGTCCCGAGAGATCGAAGCTGCCAGAAAGAAGATGTTCACTGGAGAGAAGATCAACTTCACCGAGGTGCTCATTGATTGCCAAACGTCAATCACAACTTAATCTAAACTTGTAGTGCACATTTATTTTTTTGATATAATAAACAGTAAAAACAGTGAATGACGTGCAGAAAAACATCCTGTGTGTCCAAAGGGGCGCGCTGTACTCCATGTTGCTTTGAGGAACCGCTCCAACACTCCCATCATGGTTGACGGCAAGGATGTGATGCCAGACGTCAACAAGGTTCTGGAGAAGATGAAGGGCTTCTGTCATGTGAGTGCAACTAACATAGAGACTGAAAATCCATGAAGCTTTTGCAGCTGTAACAGTTTATTGATCGTGCTGGCTGCAGAGGGTTCGCAGTGGAGAGTGGAAGGGCTACACGGGGAAGGCCATCACCGATGTCGTTAATGTCGGAATTGGAGGATCAGACCTTGTGAGTATAATAAAAAGAACTCTACTGACTCACACCTGTATATCTCCGATTTTGTATTTCATTTGATTTGAACTGCAGGGTCCTCTGATGGTGACCGAAGCCCTGAAGCCGTATTCAAAGGGTGGACCCCGTGTCTGGTTTGTGTCCAATATTGATGGGACTCACGTCGCTAAAACCCTGGAACAGCTCAATGCTGAGACAACCCTCTTCATTGTTGCATCTAAGGTAGCAGGACCACCTCAATACGATTATTAACACTTAACCAGGGTAGCTTTGCAAAGTGTTGCCTTTAAAACATTAATTAGATGCAAGTCTTTGAGACTTTAGCTGAAATTTCCATTCACTGAGTTGAATCCTGTGAGCCAGCATTGTGACTTTCATGTCTACTGTTGCAGCTCTGGCAGTGAAAATCAACTATAAATATTATAAACAGCTGTTCAACAACTCAAATTTGTTTGAATATTTTTCGCTCAATGGTTTCTTTTAAGTTTTGGTATCGAGAGTCGGCCAACATTGCATTAAATGCTTCCACGTTCTGTTTGCAGACATTCACCACCCAAGAAACTATCACCAACGCTGAGTCAGCCAAAGCCTGGTTCCTTGAACATGCCAAAGATGTGAGTGAAGAACGCTTCAATTAGTGTTCTGGCTGATAATACAATTATTAATCGTTGCATGTGTTTCAACAGAAATCTGCTGTCGCCAAGCACTTTGTTGCTCTTTCCACAAACGCTGTAAGTTCTACGAAATATATTTTTAAATGGTAGAATCTCAATTTGCATCCAAACATCTAAACTTTCCTGCTTTTCTCTGTCTGCCCTCTCAGCCCAAAGTGAAGGACTTCGGCATCGACACGGAGAACATGTTTGAATTCTGGGATGTGAGTGCTTTTTTAAGACTTTCAGTCTGCTCTTTGTGCTGCAGGTCCCCCCTTTGCATCCCCACACTGTGATAAGGGCATGTGAGCAGCTGCTATAAATACACTAGACTTTTGACCTGTGAAGAAGGTGGGACAGACACTCGGGGGAGCAGCTGTTGGGTAATCAGAAGCCCCTCTCTTTAGATTCAGTTATTATTGGTGGTGACCTTTCCTCTCGTAGAGGTTACAGTAAAGGCTGAGTCACATCAAAGGTCAGAGAGCAGCTTTGAGTTAGATTGTTAGTATTTAAAAGGTTGCACCTTTAATATGCCTTTAATGTCACAGAGACAATGGCATACCATGTACAGATTACATAATGTTTTTTGTTCCACACAGAAAAGGATCAAGTAGACAAACACAACTTTAATAAATGATACGTTAGTTCATGAAGAGAGCTTTTTATCCAATGTTAAATGCTATTTTTGTAAATATAATAAAAGTACGACTTGTAGGAAATAGAGTTAGAAGTTTACATCCTTCATCTTGGGTGTGCATGCCATTGATTTGGCGCTTTTAGTGTTTTACTTCAATCAGGGGTGGAAATTTTCCAGGATGGAATGATTAAACAACTTCATTGAGTTTTTTTATTTTTTTTATTTTTATTATCAAGAATTAGAAGCACAGGATTTAATTTAGTGTGGATTTTCTCCTGCCCACACATGGTCAAAATTATTCATCCATGCTCAGATATAATCTATACATTAAATCTTTCATTAAATGATGCTGAAGGTTGTAGGGTATCTTTTAAGTGTCTGTGTCAACAGTGAAGATGTTTTACATCACCATGGACTAAAAGGGCGCCGACCAGAAAAGACGCCTGGGCACCAAAAGCTTCACTTTCAAGCTCATCTGAAATCACGTGGAAAGGCAAAATGTCGTCAGGAGAAAAGTTTTCTGGTCAGACGAGACAAAGATAAAGATGTTTGGCCACAATGATAAGAAGTATATTTGGAGGAGGCATGGTGAGATTTTCAAGCTCTGGACCATCTGTCAAGTATGGTGGTGGTAGCACCATGCTGTGGTACTGGTGTGTTGCACAAAATGGGCAGAATAATTTAAAAAAGGACAACCTCCAAACTTTTCAACCTAAACTGTAAACTTGACAGGTAAAATTGAGACAGTGTATTATGAAATTCTTTATCAAAAGGGCTCGTGAACGATCGGCACAGATATTCAGACAAGGAAAAAATAAAACACCAGAGACTGTTACTGCTAGGAATAATAAGTGTCATTTATTAACCTGCCACAGAAAACAGCCAAGCAAAAAACATGTACACTCGTACACTCTTAACACACAAAATGATATGAAAGAACTTCTCACCGTGACACTGGCCGGGAAGTCGTTTTCGACCCAGGTAAAGAAGAATCACATCATCAACTGCATGGCACCGCGCGCGCTGGTCCACACAAGACTTCCAAAGTTTCCCTTGCCTGTCACTTCCTCTTATACCTTTTCCCTGACCGGATCGCGTGAGAGCAGTGAAAAACAACTTTGATGGTTGCCAGGAGGGCAGATTTAATTAAATCTGTTTTCCCATCATCAAAGCAGTCTGTGCAACAGAGTGATGGCTTCATAAAAACATGTCCTTCAAAATCTGGGTCACTGTAACCTTAAGATTGGGCCCGGTCTTCTGGTTAGAGCATCCCCCAGAGAACTTTAATTACTCCAAAACACATCTGCAGCACAGGCCTGACTTTAAGCAGATAAGCTGCATCAAAAGTGAGTATAAGTGTGTTTTCAAACTACATGTAAATGAGTGTAAAATAAGTATAAATTGACATAAAAGCATCAAAATAATCATTCCTATATCAGACAGTTAAACTGGTTTCTTATTGGATAAAAGAGGCTAAATTTAAGCTCCTAGAATGGCTTTCCCAAAGCTTCAACCTCAGCCTTATTGAAAATGTGTGAACTATGCTTTAAAGCCAGGTCTATGCCAGGAAACCAACTAATTAGAATAACTAAATCAGCCAGATTTATGTCAGAAACTTGTAGATGTCTGAAAAAACTCGTGTTGTAGAGGCAAGGCACAACTTGTTCTGTTATTTATTTGTCATATGCAGGTTAACACAAGGTCAAAAATGCAATGAAATGTTCAGGATGAGAAGAACCGATCCGACTTGATAACAATAAAATAAAATAAAGCATGCAATAAGGGTACAAAATAAAGTACCAAAAAGTGAAATGGAAATATAATATTTACAAGGTCCAAAAGAAATATAGTAAACAACAACATGGTAGAATATAACGGTGCAAGTAGACATGTTTCATCAAATATTAGTGGGGATGTATGCATATATTTGAGCCTGTACAGGTCATTTTGGCCCTGTGTTGATTGGAGAAAATCCACACAAAAAGATAAATTTTTGCACCCAATTCTTATTTTCGAAAATCACTGAAGTTGTACAATCATTTTTAATCAATCACCAAAAACACAGAATGCTTTAAATGAATTACATGTTAAAATTGACAACACTCGTGTCCATAATAAGTGTTACTAAGCAATACTAAACACCTACACGTGTATAGATTAATATTTTTATTTTTGTATTTTCTAACAGTGGGTTGGTGGACGTTTCTCCTTGTGGTCTGCAATTGGAATGGCTATTGCCTTGCATATTGGTATGTACTGTGGAAAAACAAAATAAATGTTTGTGCAGAGACAACAGCTCAACGTGCATTTATTTAAATCATTTTGGTCAAGATGCTAAAATATCTCCATTGTGTTTGTGAGGATGGAACAAACCAAAGAGTCTGAGCTCACCAGGGTGGTCAGCAGTCGTTCTCTCAGGCTCATGATTGTGTGCACAGATGTTTGAAGAAATCTACTCAATACCTGCATCAATAATTCAGTTGGACTGCAGTGCTGGATGAATGCTGCTCTCACAGCTGAAAATGTATTCTAGTACTGGCTTCAGCAAGTGTGTAGGAATTATTTCTTAACCTGATGGGCAAACAATGTTTTCTTTGTATCTCCTCATCAGGATTCGACAACTTTGAGAAGCTTCTGTCAGGAGCTCACTGGATGGTACGTACGTCAGGATGAGACAGACTGATCCAGCTCTCAAATATACAATAACTATGAGGTCTCTGTAAATTGGAAATGCCTAATGAAAAAAAAACAACAACTAGCTTTTCTCTGCTGCAGGACAAACACTTCTGTACTGCTCCCCTGGATAAGAATGCTCCCGTCCTGCTGGCTCTGCTGGGCATCTGGTACATCAATTTCTTCCACGCTGAGACTCATGCTATGCTGCCTTACGACCAGTACATGCACCGCTTCACCGCCTACTTCCAACAGGTCTGTCCTCAGGCAGCAGCAGAACTCACAAAACTGTGCTAGCTCATATTATCAGAAAAAAAGTGTTATAAGATCAGAACTTTGAAAAAAAAAAAAACTTTAGCTCCCCAGAAAATATATTTTATGCTTAAAAGAAGATGATTTGTTCGTTTCCTACATTTAAAAGCAAGATGAGGGGCACAGACAGAGGCAGCAGCAAAGAGAGAGAACAAAGGAAACATGGAGAATGAGAGTAGGTGATGAAAATAATGAATCCAAACCACCTGATTGCAGGCATAAAAACAAACTGATGAAGTGTTGAAAAAATAAGAAATGAATATGATTGTTCAAAATGAAGCCAGGAAACAAAAAAGCAATTAAAACTCCCTGACTTCTTGTCTAATTTTGAATAGTATACATCCTAATAGTGAGTGTTTGTTAATCAGGGCGACATGGAATCAAATGGAAAGTACATCACTAACCATGGAGCACGGGTGAACTACCACACTGGGCCCATAGTGTGGGGAGAGCCTGGGACTAATGGGCAGCATGCCTTCTACCAGCTCATCCACCAAGGTACAAACACTGTTCCAGGAGGCTCCTCAGTGCGTCTTGTCTGTGTGGTAGCAATGGTAGATGCTATACACAACAAGGGGGTTATAAATTATACGTGTGGAAATTGTGGCACTAATTGAGTCAGACATGTTGATTTCAGGAACCCGAATGGTGCCAGCTGACTTCCTGATCCCAGCTCAAACGCAGCACCCCATCAGAGACAACCTGCACCACAAGGTAATGCTGGCATCTGCCGTCGTCATGAAAACTTCAATGAAACAGACATTCAGAGTGTAACAATTGTAGAGGATATTTAAATAGGATAATTTATAGGATTATGGACTATATATTTATAATTTATAGGATTTATGTAGGATAATTTATAATTCTTTCTTAAAATTACGGGACACCACCTCGTTGGAGGATAATTGAAATCTTTCATTTAAAAATGAGTCTCAAAAGAATAACCCCCAAACGTGAGTTCTTTTACGAGATGTAATCCTTATTTATATTTTAAAACATAACCTGGTTTACATTGGCCACCTTTTTTGTAACGTTTATTTGCATATAGGTATATTAAAATAGTGGTAACACATGAAAATGGGACTGATAATATAGCTTTTTGGACTTTGAGAAGAAATATTTATCTGAGTTTAGTCTACTGAATTTAAAAGAGGGTTCAGGTGAAACTAGAAAATGAGATGAATATTAATGGAGTTAAAGTTAAGATAGTAACATTAAATCAGAATAATTTAGTAAACTTATCTGAGATTCGTGGAATAAAAAGTTTAAACTAAGCTGGCACTCAAGATGGTCTCGGCAGGTATGATTTTCATCTTTAAATAATTTCTTGGTCTGTTGCCTTCACATATCTCCTACTACATGTCATTTAATCAGTGCAGCTACAGCGTGCACTCTCAAGACATCATTACCTGCAGTCCCCTCAGCGTGGGCCGAACTTTACCATACCATTTTATTTATGGAGCACTTAAAACAGCAACAAGGCCAACCAAAGTGCTGTACAGACAGAACAACAGGTAACACACAAATCAAAATACAAAATGAAGTAAATCAGAATATAGACATAAAAACGATGCAGATAATGATGACAAACCAGTGTGGAGCATACAGATTCAAAACACAGATCATCTGGTGTTGAAAGCCACCGAATAGCAGTGGTGGGATGTAACTTAGTACAAATACTTTGTTACTGTACTTAAGTACATTTTTCATGTATCTGTACTTTACTTAAGTAGAGTTAAATGTGGGTATTTTATACTTTTACTCCACTATATTTTACATCAAGTATCTGTACTTTCTACTACACTACATTTCTATAATGCGTAGCATTACAAGTTACATTCATGTTGCAGCTTTTTGATTTGTTTGTTACTTTGAAATTAACCAATGGTGAGAGGGGAGCTGGTCCAGTGAATCACTGCAAAGTGGGCAGGTAACGTTAGACCCACCTTCAAGAAGAGCTGGGCCAATGACATATATTCTAGTATATATGTCACTGAGATGGGTGCACCTGCAGCACCACTAACACACCCAAAATGTATTCCACAGCAAGAGAGTCAGTCAGAAGATACACGCCACCCAGGGCCTTATTGAAAGACTGCTCAGTACAACAGGACAGATTCTCTCTCCCAAAAGAGCCAGACCGGACTAAAAAAATATTTGAAAACAACTTCCTCTGAACTTGAACAAGAAATTCTTGCTGCAATATTAAAATGTGTCAGTTCATGATGTTAGCAGACAAGAGATGTCTCCAAATGTCTCGACACTCAGGTCCAAGTTTTAAAAATGGTGTCAGGAAGTTAAAATATTGTTCAATATTGACCCATTACAAGGTTGAATAGACAGTATTTTAACTGGAGTTGAAATGATCAGAGCCTGTTCCTTTGTTAGTTGTGTCTATGCTCCTTTTGTTCAGGCAGACAACTTTTACTTCAATGTGTTTATTGCAGTTAAAATGACACATTGGTTTTGCTTTGTGTTAAATAAAAACTTTCAAATGTATAATCATTCCTCTTTCTTATTTTGATTAATGACATTTAACTCTGCAGGTCATCCCTGAAATTCTGACGCACAGAATCACAAGTCCAAGTGTGAACTGTGTCACAGAGTAAACACAATAAAAACATGTATTATCTGCAGCATTGTTCATTAAAATGGAACAACACTATTATTGTATTACAGAAATATACATACGGTAGGTACACTTAATGATATTGTAGACCATTGCATTGGGTAATACATTCAGGAAGTACTTTTACTTTTAATACTTTAAGTATTTTTAAAGCAAGTACTTATTTACTTTTACTTAAGTAAAAATGTTAATATTGTACTTCTACTTTTACTAGAATACATTTTTGTCTGTTTATTTGTACTTTTACTTAAGTACAGTGTTTGAGTACTTTCGCCACCACTACCGAATAGTAGTGGGTTTTGAAACGGGACTTGAAAACCGAGAGGGAAGGGGCCTGTCTGACAAGCAGAGGTAACTCGTTCCTGTCATGATCTGCTTCCGGTTGTGGGACCCAAAGTGCAGGAAGACGAATGAAGCTCCAGTAAATAAGTAAAATAGTTTATTAATTAAATAAACAAAACAAAATGCTGTCGGGGCAGCAAACTTACTTTAGGAGGACACACAGGAGAGACAGGTCATGAAGCCTTAGGACAAGGACACTCCAGAGACACTGACAAGACACCAAGAGGCTGAATATATACAGACGCTAACAAGGTGAAATGAGTGACACCTGCGGTGATTAGAATTAGACACAGGTGCAACAGTGCTGGAACACAGGAGGAGAAAAGCTGAGGGGTGACAGGCAAACATGAGGAAAAACACAACATGTAAGACAAGACCCCAGAAACCCTACAGTTCCAAAGTTCTTGGTCCTGCTACAGAGAAGACCCTGTCACCTCTGCGCTTAAGACGAGTTCCTGGAACTGTGAGGTGCAACTGGTCCGCTGACCTCAGGGAACGTGGTGGGACATACGGTTGTAGCAGATCAGAGAGATAAGGGGGGCGAAACTGTTCAGTGATTTGTAGACATACATGAGTATTTTGAACTGGATTCAAAAGTGAACCGGTAACCAGTGCAGTGAGGCCAAAACTGGTGTAATGTGCTCTCTTTTGCCTGTACTGGTTAAAAATTGGGCTGCTGCATTCTGGACACGTTGTACTTGGTGAGCTTTGCCAAAGGGCCTTCTCTTACTCTGTTTCTGTAACCTGAAATACCTTGCAATAAGATTTGAAGTTGTCGACTGTGACCTCTCTAAAGGATTTCAAACAACTGTTAAGTTAATGGCAAAAGCTAAAGCAGACATGTTCCCGTTTTTAGTGTTTTATAGCGCTTTATAATGTACAGTAACTGTTAGGGCTGGACCATATCATATTGTTCACGATAATACTGGTTAAAAAAAGCTTGCCCGGGCAAAAAAAATTATATCATGATATATGTATATATTTTTTTCATTTAGCCTTTATTTATACAGGTAGTCTCATTGAGCCACGATAACTCATTTTCAAGAGAGACCTGTTTAGGAGGCACATGGTGGGGGTTAAGGGCCTTGCTCATGGGCCCAGAGTGGGGCGATTGAGGGTGGGGGCAAGTGTGGATGTTTCACCTACCCCACCCACAATTTTGATGTTGTTGGGGCCGGGGCGTGAACCGCCGATCTTCGGATCACAGGCCCAACTCTCTAACCTCTGCGCCACCACTCCCCCGAAATATGCTAATTTCATGACATAATACGTCAGGGCGCACCACCCGTTTGACAGAACCGAGTGCGCCGAACGACCACAACGAATTGCGCACCCCCCACCCCCCTCCACCTGTTAGTACTGGCGTAACCATAGATATATCTATGGGTGTAACGCTAATTAGCTGCGCGTAATACTAGCTAGCTAAAAACAAGCAACGCATGGCTCAACTGTCTCTCCATCCAGCTCTAAACTGCAGGTACAGACAACTCAACTGTCTCTCCCTTCCCCGCTCTAAGCTGCCACTCGCTTTTTTTTTCTCACCACTCCGCGGGTTGCATCTCCCCCTCTCTAAACTGCCGGTACAAACACGCGCAGCTAAACTGTCTCGAGTTCACAGTCCGTGGACCAAGAACAGAGTCAGGTGATGAAAGACAGAGCATCAGAGAAATTAATCATTCCTGCAGGAACAGAGGAAGCTGAAACACCACAAGCTTCAGGGTCAGCTGATCACCTTATTACAAGTTCTGGAAGTTATAGCTCATTTAAAGGCAACATATATTTTGTTTAAGCTACATTTATGCTCACCAGATCTTAAGCTTTCATTTTATTTAGTTATTTTGGAAAACTTCACCTGCACTTTAGTTTTTGTGGTGGATTTATTAATCTATATTTCGTGCAAACATTTTCAATCTAAATAACAGAAGGATCATTTTTATTTTTTATTTTTATACTTGTAGACTGAATACTTTACTAAATAAAGTAATTTCAGTAAAATTACCCCTTGTTTTTTATTTATTTTACGTAATACTGCAAAGAAGCATGTTAAGTTAATTTTGTCAAATAAATAACTATGATTTCTGTTGTTTTTTTTATATCGTGAAATTTATCGTTATCGTCAGAATGCTCTGAAATATCACAATATTATATTTGAGCCATATCGCCCACCCCGAGTAGCTGTTTTTGTTTTAAGCATTTCTTCTATTAACTTTTCATTTTAAATGCTTTTATATGATCGTCTATTGTTGTCTGTACCTCATCTGCGTTCTTTGTTAGAACCGGGTCTCTCTTGTAAATGAGTCCCAGAGGCTCAATGGGATTAACCTGTACAAAATAAAGGTTGAATGAATGAATATCTCCTCCTACATGTCATTTCATCAATGTAGCTACAGCTTGTGCTCTCGAGACATCATTATCTGCAGTGTCCCCTCAGTGTGGGCCAAACTTTGCCAAAGGGCCTTCTCTTACTCTGCTCCTGTAACCTGAAATTCCTTGCAATAAGATCTGAAGTTGTTGACTTTGACCTTTCTAAGGGATTTCAAACACCTGTTAAGTTCATGGCAAAAACTAACGCGACATGTTCCTGTTTATAGTGTTTTTATATCGCTTTATAATGTACAGTAACTGTTTTTGTTTTAAGCATTTCTTCTATTTACTTTTCATTTTAAATTCTTTTATATGATTGTCTAGTGTTGTCTGTACCTCATCTGTGTTCTTTGTTTAAAACTGGTCTCTCTTGTAAATG